CCTATAGGTAGTAGGAACAATGATTTTTTTAAAAAAATATTCAAACTTAAAGCCACAAAATTCATAGTATATATTTTTAATAGTCACTGACTCTGACAACTCATATCAAGGATATATCAATATAATATTCAGGACATTGTCTTCATTTTCAAATATGGGTATGGTGTTATGTAACAATTTTCTGTTAAAAATCAGCAACTTTCAAAAATTATACATGTTTATTTAAACACAAATGTCAAGGACATATATTTAGTTAGCAAGTATTTTGAAACCTTCTTACACTGTAGTGTGCATGTTTTCCTTTAGCCCATCAATGATACATTGTCTTTTATCTTCTTTAATAAAAGACTAGCTAGCCTTCTTAACTCTCAGTAAATACCTTTTGATGTCACCAATGGGCAATATATCAACAATTACTTCCAGTCGTGTCTTACTTAAGGGTATTATCTTTTTATGATTTTTTTTTCTCTAGTATGAGCCAGATCCAGGAGGAAACAGATGGCATACTCACAAATGGGGTAATTTAATAGAGAAGCTAATTATAAAGCTGCAGGTAAAATTAAGAAAACTATCAAAGGAAGATACAGTGTCATGCAGCTATAAACCTGAATAAGTATGTGACACAGGGTTCCCAGAGATAAAGAGAATAAAGAGAAATGTGCTTGAGGGCTGCGGTAGTTTTTCAGTCATTGAAAAAATCTACCTGGGCAATGGAAGCTGGGACACCTTCCTTTTACTCCTGTACCTCCTGCCAGTTAAGAGGACTTTAACCTCAGGGCAGGAGAGCTTGCTCACCTAGCTCACTGAGATAATCCTCCAAGATGCAGTTCTCAAGATGGAGAGAGGTAGAGTAAATAAGATAGCATCTCATATTTGGATTTAAAATTTTAAAACATTCATTTTATTCTTGTGGGGTTTCTAATAACCTGTAGGACCATTGTGTTGCATTTAAAGTTATTTCTGATGAACTGCCTGAAAATCTTAATTATTGTGCCTCACCAACTCTGTATCTCAGTCATTTTAACATTGTGACTGAGAAGTCTTACTGGCTCCTTGGTTTAGATTTACTTCAATTCAGACCTCTTTATATTTGTTGAATAAGCTAACTGCATGCACTTCATATCTTCTTTTAAAAAAGAGAGTAATATTTAATATCAAACAATGGATTGCCAAGAGTAATACCTAAGAAAGTACTTTAAATGTTTTCTAAAGTTACTGACTTAGAATCTCCCTGTGGCAGAATGCAAAATAAAGTTTGCATGCAGGTAGCAGAACACAGGGCAACAGAGGGGAAAAACAGTGAATGGCCAATACTGAATTTGAGACAGTCATGAAACAGTGGTGTTGGATTACACCACAGTGCAGTGAACGTTCTCATAAGGACATTTCAAAGTCTGCCAGAACTATGGCAGTACCCATCCTCTAGGCCAAGCTGGCTGCAGACCCACTTCTTTGTCCCAAACTGTTGAGTTCTCCCAACAGAGAGAAAAGGAGGATAAAACTCATACATGTTCTTCAATCCCTCCTGATTGTGAACTGTTCTGCACATGTTGACACTTGCCTCACCCAAACATACCCTGCCTCATGTATTTTATTATTTTATTTTATACATGAATAGACTCAGCTTTCTGAGGAAATTTCATGCAAAATGTCATCTGAACCGGATGGAACTACTGTGGTTGGAGAAACAATTTGTGCTGTAATTTAAAGAGTTCCTAAAAGATACACATTTCAAGTTTTGATATAGGTTGGGTGTATTGGAGGAATAATCCTGTGTATATGTGTGTGTGTGTGTGTGTGTGTGTGTTTGTGTGTGTACATGATAAATCAGTCAGCCTGTAAACAATATGTGATATAAGGTTTTTTTACTTTTTTCTCACACACTAAATCCCGGGATGCAGCCAACATAAAATTTTATACATGTTTGAGCAAAGCAAAATATGACTAACAGAGCTCAAAAGAAAATTTGATTGATTGAAGAATTGATCAACAAATCTAAAGAAGCTAAATAACAAGGAGGACATTAGGGGCAATACTAAATTCTCTTTCAGAAGGGCAAATAGAATAGACACCAGAAGCTGTTTAAGAGAAGAAACAGGGCTACTGTCTACCATAGTTGTCTTCTGAAAGACTCCACCCAGAAGGGGATCCAAGTAGATGCTAAGATGGACAGCCAGTATGTAAAAAGGACATTTGCTCAACCATGTTCATAGTCCCTTTATTTGTAATATCCAGATCCTGGAAACAACCCAGATGTCCCTCAAATGAGGAACAGATGCAGAAATGTGGTACATTAACAAAATGGAATAGTACTTAGCACTTAAAAACAAGGAAAGCATGAAATTTGCAGGCAAATGGTGGTTACTAGAAAAGATCATCTTGAGTGAGATATCCCAGAAACAGAAAGACACACACGGTATATACTCACTTATATATATTATATATTTGTATATATATATATACATATATATAATTATATATTGTCATATATATTATATATAAGTGAGTATATATATCATATTATATATGTACATATATATAATATACATATATACATACATATATTATATATTATACATATATAATATGGTATATATATACCATATTATAAGTGAGTATATATATACTCACTTATATTATATATATAGTATATATATAGTATATATAGTATATAGTATATATATAGTATATAGTATATATATAATATAAGTGGGTATATATATATATATACTCACTTATAATATGGTATAAATATACTAAAATCTTTACACCTAAAGAAGCTAAGCAAGAAGGAGAACCCTGGGTAGAATAACCAATCCTCATTCAGAAAAGCCAAAGTACAGAAATAGGAAGACAGAGAAAACATGGAATAGGACAGGAGACTACCACAGAGGGCCTCTGAAAGACTGGACCCGGCAGGGTATTGAAGCAGATGCTGAGACTCATAGCCAAACTTTGGGCATAGTGCAAGGAATCTTATGAAAGAAGGGGGAGATGAAAGGCCAGGAGGGGACAGAAACTCCACAAGGAGAACAACAGAACCAAAAATTTGGGCTCAGGGTTCTTTTTCTGAGACTGATATTCCAGCCAAGGACCATGAATGGAGATAACCTAGAACCCCTGCACAGATGTAGTCCATGGCAGCACAGAATCCAAGTGTGTTCCCTATTACTGGGAACGGAGACTGTCTCTGACATGAACTCAGTGGCTGGCTCTTTGATTACCTCCCCCTAATGGGGGAGCAGCCTTACCAAGACACAGAGGAAAACAAAGCAACCAGTCCTGATGAGACCTGATAGGCTAGTGTTAGATGGAAGTGGAGGAGGACCTCCCCTATCAGAGGACTTGGGGAGGGGCATGGGAGGAGATTAGAGAGAGAGGGTGGGATTGGGAGGGGACCTGGGCAGTGGGTTACAGTTGGGATACAGAGTGAATAAACTGTAATTAAAAATAATAATAACAAAAATAGACTCAGCCAATTTTTGGGCTTAGCGCTGGTAGTCTTATGGAAGTGTTGGGAAATAGAAGGGCCCAGACTGGACAGGAGCTCCACAAGGAGACCAACAAAGCCAACAAATATGGACCCAGAGGGGCCTGCAGAGACTGTTGTAGCAACCAAGGATTTTGCATGGAAAGGACCTAGTTATTCTGCTCAGATGTAGCCAATAGGCCGCTGATTCTCCCTCCAGGTCCCAAAGTTATGGGAGCAGGGGCTGTCTCTAACATGGACACTTATACCCACTCTTTGATCACTTTCCCCTAGCAGGGCAGCTTGATCAGGTCAAAGAGGAAGAAGAGGCAGGCAGTCCTTATGAGACCTGATTGGCTGTGGTCAGAGTGTAGGGGAGGAGGTCCTCCCCTTCGGAGGACTAGGGGAGCAGGATAAGCAGGGAAGAAGGAAGGAGGAGAATAGTGAGGGGTTTACAATTGAGATGTAAAGTGAATAAAATATAAAAATATTTAAAAATACAATAAAATGTTCTCATTATTCAAAGATAACATTCATACATTTCTTTCTTCTAACTTTCAACATGTAGTAATTTTTCTCCATTGTCTCCACTTCACTCCTGCTTCACAAAAGGTCATGAGGGAAAATATCACCGCTGTGTTAGTGAACTGATTATCTCCTTCTTGATTAGGTTCTTTAGGTGTACAGATTTTAGTATGTTTATCTTTTTTTTCAAGGCACATTTAATTTAATATCAATAATTCAGTACAAAAGGCCCAAATACAATGAAGGGAACACATTCCCCCATTTAACACCAATGACAATACTGTTTAACATGTGCCTGCTAAATGAGATGAGGGTTTACTGAATAACAGGAGTCTCATCACAGCCAATACCATATACAATCTAGTTTGTGAAATGAATTCTTCAAACAGTTTAAACCTGAAGTGTGAGACCACACCTTCATGTTTGTACAGTCCTCAGTTGAGGTTATCTACAGTTTCTGCAACCATTCAAATAACAAATCATTGATTTAGAAAAACACATAAATTTAAGGCTCCATTATATAACATAGAGCTCTGAGCTAAATGGATCAATATATATGCACTACTTGTACTGATAGCTATGACTTGATTTTCTCACAGCCATGAGAAGCTGTTTTTTAGTAAGTAAACCCTTTAAAAGCAAAATATATCTCATTTCGTTTTGACCCAGTAGTTCAACAATCATGAAGTCCACAGTCTTATTGGCATAACTGATGTGCAGTGTCTCTAAGTCAGTATGCTCAAGGTTAAGAGCGATGCATATTCCATTTTTACATTTTACTGGAATTTTACATGTTCAATTCATGGTTTAAAACCTCTAGGTTTTCAATCCTCCAAACTGTCTGAAGACACAGTGTGCCACAGACTTAAAACTTCTGTTTTTCCCTCTCTTTTCTTCAAACAGAAACATTTCTCAAGTGTCTACATGTCCTAGAAGGGGAATTTTTCGGAGGTGGCCTCTTCTTTGGAATAGTCCGATGGCATCAGACCTCTGAAGCAAAGGGAAGAGAAAGAAGCTGAAACACAAGGTTCATCTGGTAAGTTTTACATTAACCATTACAAGCTGGACAGTATAAGAATGTGGCTTTTTTGGCTCAAAAAAGTCTGAGTCTTGGTGTGGAAATGAGTACTTGGCTGTCCCACCACAGCTTTCTCGAGGTGGGACTGTCAGGGAAGTCTTGACTGGGGAGTATGATTTGTTTACCTATCAGGCGTAAACTTCCAGGCACTCAGTTCATTTTGGGCTTGTTCCAGTTTGTCTTTAGTCTGTTCCAGTTCCCCTTTCATTTTTAGGAAAAACAAGTTGATGGCTGGGTCTACCATTGTTGATCTCAGTTGGGCAACGCTCGGCTGCTGGACTTGCTTGAGGTACTGGATTTGAGTAGTACACTCTTGCATCTCTTGTTCCTTGGTTGCTAGTCGCATGACAAGAATGTTTTCCCTGCGTGCAGACTCCTGCTGTTGCTGCTTTAGTTTTTCTTCAGATTCCCTTAAGCCTGTCACATCGTTTGAATTTAGATCTGTGTACTTCCCCTCCAGAGCTTGAACATATGCTTCATACTGTTTCCATGTTAGAATTAACTCATCCCGTGCCATAACTTTGAAGTCTGCTTCACTCAGACGGACTTTTTTAGGAAGAGGTTCTTCGTTGGTCATCTTGAACCCCGAGAGGCACCTCTCGGGCGAGGAGGAGTGGCGAGAGGAGGCCGGCCCGGCCCGCTCAGGGCCCTCTAGTATGTTTATCTTATATTATCCCAAAGTAGGTATCTTTTAAATGATCTGGCCTCTAGTAAATATGAATTACATGTATCTAGGATCAAATACTGAGGAGTGTTTATGCAGGTGAAAATGTTTTTTTTTTATTTTTTTTTATTTTTATTAATTATACTTTATTCACTTTGTATCCCCCCATAAGCCCCTCCCCCTAAATCTTTTATATGCAGTGTTTCCTCTTTTTTAATTTTTTATTAATTACACTTTATTCATTTTGTATCCCCCCATAAGCCCCTCCCTCCTCCCCTCCCGATCCCACCCTCCCTCCCCTTTCTGCATGCATGCCACTCCCCAAGTCCACTGATAGGGGAGGTTCTCCTCTTCTTTCTGATCTTAGTCTATCAGTTCTCATCAAAAGTGGCTGCATTGTCCTCTACTGTGTTTTTGGAAACAGAATACTCATTCTGTGTTTTTATGTCATATGTAATTTACACACACATACTTAAGAATAGTGAGGTTGTTCATAATTTCCTAATGACTACATTAAATTGCCATCACTTCATAAAACTTCCTTTATAAAAGCAATTATTTCAACAAGATCATTCAAAGATTGCCCTCTGGTTCCCACAGGCAAGACTTTCTAACATATATTTTTGAATTCTGAAAGTCAATGGCTTCAGATACTTGGAAAAGTTTTGTAGGTTATTGTTAATATGTACACATTTTACAAATGTATTCTTTGATAACTTCACACATGAACAGAAGAACGTATGATCATATACAGCCCTCATAAACCTAATTTAATGACCCTTGGACCCCTACAACATTTCCAAGTTCATATCTTCTCTTCTTCTTGTCCTCCTATTGCTCCCTTTCTTTTTAATATCCCACTAAGTTGATTTATTTAAGTTTGTATATGCACTGACGTGGAGCACTGAAATGGAACACTGAAACATACAATAAGGGTTCAAACTCCCAAAGAGGTGTAATTCTCCATCTCCAGCTACTAACGGCTATCATATATTCAGTCAGGAGAGGGTTTTGTAGGTTTATACCCACATTGGTGGCAGAATTTTGGATGGCTCAGTTCTGTGCTGATCTTTAACAGTAACTTAGCTACTATTAGTTCAAGAGTGCAAGAGTCATGTCATTTCTAAGACAACCAACATTGTGAGGGTTTTTGAAATGGTTTTCATGAATGATTACAGTTTATGAAAGTTGTCACCTTACATCTTGACAGAAACTTGGAGTTAGCTTGGCCTAGCTGCCTTGAAAATATGTGTCATAGGTCTTTCAGTTTAGAGTCTATGCCTCCTGAATACAATAGCCTTCCTGAACCTGAGAGACTGATGTACTCTCTAAGATAGTGAAGCTTCAGGTTGCTTTGTGTTTTGCTGTGTGCTCCCTCCATAGTTCCCAAGCAGGACAGTTTGTCTTAGACATTAATCTTATGTATGCTGTATAGCTTGCAAACTTTTTTATATCCTGAAACTACAACTGTTTTTTTGTGTATGTAATATTTAATTTTAATGTTTCAAAAATTATGGAATCTTTTGCCCCAGATATAATGTGTTAGTCGTGCACTGGTACATTAAAAATATCCCAACATATTATGTGATTTATGTGGGTTGTTATTCCTCAATTTTCTTATAGGTGACAGGTAAGAGGCTCCCAATCAAATGATTCATGTACTTGTAGTCAGATGGTTTTCCATTGGGTGATAAATAAAATCCTTGAGTTTTTGTGTTTTCCATGCTTTTTTGAGGCCCTCGGGCCTCTCACTCTATCTACCCACAGCCGTAGAAGGTCTGAACTGATGCAGAGCCGTCCGTTTATCACCCAATGGAAAACCAAATCCTGGACTTCATATGCAATCTTTGTATTCATTTCATGAAGTGTTTCTTGATTCTGTGTGTCTTATTTTTTTAAAAGAGAAAAATCTTTAAAATTGAAAGTTCAAATTGGAGAATATTGTCATAAGTTACAGTGCATTACATGCTCTAAGACTTGGAACAATGCTAACCCTGATTGCCATGCCATAAAATATAATATTACAGTGACTGTAGTATTTTATTTGATAAGAACTATGAGCAAATCTAATTTAGTCACAGGAAGAACCGAGCTGTGTCAGAAAACGTAGCACTGCATGGTGGATTCTCACTCCATCCAGGACATCTCTTTAGCTTCTAGTATTAGAACTCACGCTCATATGAAAGAACAAATATAGCTTCTTTTAAAACATTAGCAGGATCCATATTTTATGTAATAAAGTCTCAGTTACTAGATATTACTTATAATATATAAAACTATTCAAATCTTCTGGGAGATAATAAATATAGGGCACAAAATGGCTTAAAATTTTAAGACATACAAGTACCAAAAGTATAAAATTAATTTTTGCGGTGGCTATAATTTGTGAAAGATAAGTTGCTGAGGACTTTTCCAGAATTATCAATGTTTCAGATGATAGGGAAGTACAGTAACACTGTGAATGTGTATGTATGTTTTTATGTTTGCAGGGTGGTGTCCACATAAGATCTATTAGTAGATGGAAGAATGGAATTGAGACTATATATGTACAATTAATTCTTGTCTATGGTTGGACACAGTAGTGCATAAATATAGTAATAACTATGATATTCAATTAGAATAAATTTTGGACTGTGAAATTATAGAACTGTTAAATTAATATTTAGATTATTTTTAAGAATATGAATCGTCATATATCTTACCAGTTGCTTTTGGATCTAAGTATAGTTTAATTGACTTTAGAAAGTCTAGGATCTAATGTCCAAAGCTCAGTCACACTTCGTGTATTGTAGACTCTGTGACTTCTCTGTGATTCTTTTTATGTGATTCTGCTTATCTTTTTCTTCAAGATCTATGTTATGCCATAAAATATCCCATTGCACAACTATGCAAAAGACAGTAAATACTGGGCGGATGTGTGGGAATAAATAAGAAGCTGCTAGAGAATTCTGGTCATTTGCGTTCATCCCAGAGCTCAGTTTTATTTTTGTATATGCAAACCTGAAAGCTAGGTCATAAATACTAGATTACCTCTAACCTGAAATAAGCATTGTCTAAGCATTACTTCACAATGGGTCTGTATTTGGAGATGGATTTATCCTTTAAAGAAACAGATCACTTAAAATTAAACTTTTGAGGTTACAGCCTCTTTCAGATTGCTGGAATGTACCTAAGTAATGAATTATCTAGCTATTATTACAGTTTATTCCTTTATGTTCACACTATTTTTCATATGATAAAGTTAAAGTGTTTGCACAAGTCTTTTCTCTGATGCATCTAGACAGTGTGAATATAACAGTCTTAGTTATCAAGACCCAAGAGAGTTCATAGAGAGGAACAAGGAAAGATACTAATAAACAAATCACTCTTTCTTAATACTCCCTGCATATGATAGTTCTTCCAAGCAAAATAGTAAAATTGAGATAGCAAAAATAGCATTCATATTATTTTCTTTGTCTTCTGGAGACTATAAGGGCCGAATGGTATTTAAAGCATGGTTGGGTCTTCCTGTCTTCTTTCTGCTTGGCTAGCAAAGGTCAGCCTACTTATTTTTTCTTTCTACGACCATGGCTCTAGACACATATGTTTCAAGTATCCCATTAGTCTTAATTTTGTCTCTTACAGGAACATCAACAAAATTCAATACAACAAACCTGAAAGGTGCACAAGACTATCTAAACTGCAAAAGAAGCAATTTATTGTTTGTATTTGATGACTGTTGTAATTTTATTGTAATAACTATGCCTATCTACTCATGTGTATGAAGTAGCATGCATATCTATTCATGATATGAGTAGATAATGCATATCTACCCATGTACTTCTGCCCATGTATATAAACTACTGTGTATATCTACTCACATAAATGAAGTGCCATATCCAATGGTACTCCATGTTGAGGCTCTATTTTCAATATTCCATAAGATGAATTACAGAATGCCTTATAGTGGCTGATAAAAGTTAGGTAGGAGTTTCTTCAATAAAGAAAGAGAGAATATTACCCCAAATGGGTGCAATTAAGAAAGGTTTTACAAAAGTGTAATGTCTACCTCGCAGTGTATCAAAGCAGATGCGGAGACTCATAACCAAACCTTTGGCAGGGTGTAGGGAATCATACGATAAAAGGGGAAGGTAATATGCCCGGGAGAGGACAGGAGCTCCACAAGGACAAAATATATCAGGGCACGGAGGTCCTCTATGAGACTGTTTCTCCAACCAAGGATCATGTATGGATACAACCTAGAACCCCTGCTCAGATGTAGCCCATGGTAGCTCAATATCCAAGTGGGTACCCTAGTAAGGGGAACAGGAACTATTTCTGACATGAACTCATTGACTGGCTCCTTTACGCCCCACCCCCCACCCCTGAGGGAGGAATAGCCTTGCTAGTTCACAGAAGGGACATGGCAGCCAGTCCTGAAGTTACCTGATAAGCTAGGGTCAGATGGAAGGGGAGGAGGACCTCCCCTAGCAGTAGACTTGGAAAGGGGCAGGGAGGAGAAGAGGGAGGGAGGGTGGGGTTGGGAGAGAATGAGAGAGGGGCTTACAACTAGGATACAAAGTAAATAACCTGTGATTAATATAAAAAATAAAAAATATATAAAAAAGTGTAGTGCCATAGCAAATTTGAAGAAATACTGTATTATTATGGTTTGAAAAAAATAATGAATAATTAGAAGGACCTCAGTTGGGAAAATATCTTTGTAATATTGCCTGTAGAGAAGTTTGAAGGCCATTTTCTTCATAAATTATTAATCTAGTAGAGTACAGACCACTCTGAGTACTGCCATTCTAGGCAATTGGTCCCATGTAGTATAAGAGCAAGCCAAAGGGAGCAATCCAGTAGCCATCATTCTTCCATGATTGCTTCTTCGGTTACTCCTTCCAAGTTCTTTTCTTTAGTTTTGTGGTGGT